TCAATGACTGTATATTTAATTTATTTTAAGCGATAAGTCGGGAAAAAGAAAATCTAGTTAAGCTTCAAAAACATATCGCAAAGTTGTAATAGAACATCGTTACAAGTTATAGTGTGTTTTCAGATTACAGATAACTGCGATAAGACGGAAATATCGAATTGTATGAAAATATTTCGATATCCGAACAAGCGTTGAACACGTTACATTCGTGTAACTGCGGTTAACTTTGAAGTACAGTTGCAAAGAAAGGGCGTTGCAAAATTTAGCGCCCCTGGACTTAACTGTTTATTGTGGAAGCCATACATTGTTCTTTAGAAAATGCTTTTACCACATTGTAATTGTCCACAAGCAGCAAAGGGCGCCTTTGTTGACGTTTTCATTTTTTAAATAAGTTCTAGATTGCAAAGCTCCGTATTGTGTCGAAAGTCTTCGTAGTTGAAGTAGTTTTGAGATCGAAAGAATTGTGATTTACCATCTATAACAGACTTTCTAATTTAATAAGTATGCAAATAGTATACGTAATAGTTACGCCACTGTTTCTGTCGTGTCTTCCTCGTGTTGAGATTATGTGCATGATCTTTCCTATCGACTGTCCTTCTAGTAGTTTTTATCTATCGACACATGTACGCTGCAGGGACAGTTCGATACTGATGATCGATCACGGCGTGTGTAATTACGAGACGTTATCGCTTCGATGATTTATTGATATTGGCCGGTATCGCGATAGCCAGGCCGGTGACACAGAAACTACTGTTACTTCTGGTTGCGACTCCAGATTTTTTTATAGTTTCGATATTGTAGGTATTCAGGGTATTTTGCTATTATATTACAACACAGTCAAATGTCCGACACTCGAAAATAAAATTGATCATAATTTTGTTAATCCGTATGGTGTATAACGGCAAATCAAAGACAAAGGTGTGGTGTGCAAAATGTCATATTAGGACATTAATCGGGTTTTATTCGCGGCTTACCGTTTCAAGTAGGATTAATTAGACAGCGGATGATAAATCGTGATATAGGTAGGTCAGTATTAACTTGATAATGAAGACGGTAACTTTATTTTAGTTATCAGTTAAAATTTTTAACATCTTGGGCGTATTTACCGAAATGGAGCAGGACACGGTGTCGTGTTTGAAGATAGATTATTAGAAACATTTAGTAATTGGTGGTATGGTCGGTATTTTTCTTTACGATAAATACTGCAAGTTAGTGGCACCATTACGTTTCTCCGTTAAGTGCTTAACGTCAATTTTCCTGGCATATTGGTGGGTAGATATAGGCCGGGCATATCTGCATCATTAATCTTGTGAATCATAGCAATCAGATTACATTTAAATTAAGTATATTAGTGTTAATTTGTCAAGATAGCAATTTCCAAGTAACACAAAATCTCCTTTGTAAGGTTACCTGTTGTCCCTGTCTTTTGTTTTGTGTTCCTGTATATAAGATAGTATTTATACTCTAACCTTTAACAATTTTAACTTTAACATCGGCAGAATAAATACAGTGTAGTAAGTGATAGAAATATAGCCACAAGTTACATTTTCCGAGGTCGGTGCCTATTATTTATGACAACAGTGCGTATGAATACATAAAACATAATTAATGTGCCAAAGCCTTAACATGAGCACAATCTATTGCCCACGTTTGGATTGGAACACAAATACCGTTGATTTATATTACTTTTCATAATTGCTTTAATAAGTAATATTTAAGGACGTACATAATAAATGGAATAATCAGTATCTAAAATGACATTTGTTCAAGTCCACGACACAAGTCTAAAGTGGGCCAGTCATTACGCGGTATTAACAAGTCAAATATTTTATAAACACTCATTGTTAATGTAGTGTGCACGTGTACTAACGACCACTTGTCTTATAATAACAAGCTATCGTATCTACCTACTTGGTTCTGCTCGCCTGAATGAGAGTGTTGATTCACTCCGCTACCGAGGCTGATACCCGGCTTGGCTTCCATCAATTGGTATTAATTTTTATGAGGCAAATCTTTGTTTGATTTAGGCACACCCGCCTTTATCGTTTTATGCTCAGTTTAACATAATGGATAAGCTGCGTTGTAAAAAGAAACATTGATTCTTACTGAGAGCATATTTTATCAAGTTCTTTTTTGCTTGGGCTTTATTACAATTTGATATTCTTAAATAAATTGAATAAGGAAAAGAGTAGAGCTACACAGTAAATCAAATTCATCAAACGTTTATTGCCCAAGTAAAGTATTGTATTAAGCGGAATTGGCCAGACTGAAGTCGGGGTCGCGTTTTTAGAAGATAATAAAAGGAAGGGATTTCAACGTGATCCTTTGCCAACGGTGGAGAGCAAATGGCCTCCATTTCACACTGCCGGATCGAGACAGTGGGACATCAATACTGTTCCCTCCGGTTTGTTATCTGGCGCCAGACTTTAACTTGGTTTCTAGCCAAATCGATCTTTTTTCAGCCTTGTTATCCTTAAAGACGCTATTTGTATATTAAGCAGGTTGATGATTGTCGTCATTATTATGCGAGATAAAGGGAAAAGTGTATAGTCAAGTTAGATGAGATATAATAAAACTAGTAGTACTTCAAAGGGATACCGATGTCATTGAAATTAATTGAACTTAAATTCCTGTGATTCAGATATGATCATCTTTAATTTAATAAGCGACAGAATCATGTTTCTTTCCAAAATTTTTGAGATTGTGAAGGGCCGTTAAGACGATGGGTGGGCCGGTGTGTGCTGTGTATTTATAATTTGATAAACGACGGCCGGTAGCCCAGCGGGCGTGCATGACGCCGCTCGTTAATATTGTTAATAGTTGCTCCGAGCTTTGGGATTCGTCTGCATAATGCACTATACCTTATGTTGAATTGAATAGATTGTGTGACTTTACTTAGATAACAAAATAATATGCTACCTATTTCGAAAATGTGTAGTGTAATGCTTGCATATTCTTTAGTGAATTTCATGTAAGTTACCATTGTATGGTACTCGATGAAATTGCTCAAATGAGATATTAAAACGACGTAATCCAATCGTAATTTATGCGCGTACAAATTTGTAAATAGCTGTGCAACACGGAAACAAACAAAGCATTGTCGGACTCGTGAATCGTGCGTGTGATCCCGGTGTTTGCTCACCGGGCGTCGAACCTCGGCCTCTCACTTTATATCCGTTCAAATTAGCACTAATTATATTTAATGCGTTTTACCTGTAATTAGAAGGTGTTAGGGAATGTGAAACAGTGTTTAACGGTTTCGACTCTGTTTCGACAGTGTTTACAGAGTTACGTATACGATTATACTTCTTTATGAGATGTTTTCACCATCGCGCCCACGTACATCGCGAATACAAACAGACGGATGAGCAATGTAATGATTATTGTAAACATACTTACGATTTTCTAACCTAATGCTTTCGGGTGTGGTTGAACAATATTCATGTAATGGTTAACTTGATGTCCGGAATATAATTGTGAGTTATGTTAATTTATAATATTATAAAACTCGTGACTAATTATGATTAGATAGGTTCGTAGGTACAAGTGAAGATATTTGCATGTAAAGATTTTCTAATATTACATGTATGTGGTACACGGAATTAATGTAACAAAACATAATATGAAGTAAAATCTCATGCTGAACAATAAGAACAACAAAAAAAATGTCTGCGGTTTGTCTTAGACGTCATTTTAATTTTATAGACTGTAAAAGCAGCATTCCATTGCCAAGCGAATAAAATAAATAGCTACAGTTATGTCCGTACACTTACTATAGCGCGTGTTGTATGGGATAGGTCCTGTAGATTGTCTGCCGTTAAAACTTGCATTTGACAAGAATATGGGCACGACGACCGCAGCACACAGTCAGTACAACTATTGTAAAGATGGCAGAAACGTGTCTCTGGCTAGCTATCTTCCTTTGCAATACCATTTTGGAGGACAATGTTAATGAGCTGCAGACTTTAGTATGAATAAATTTGTAAGACCTTTAGTATTTTTAGATAATATTGGTTTATGTTATTACATTAAAATAGAATATGTTTATCGGTTTGTCTACAGTTAATTGCATTTCAATCAAAACCTACTGGTATTAAGATATTGAACTAAAAACAACTGAAGCCTTTTTGATACATAATTATTTCATGCCTATACTATTTTCATTTATTGGACGCAAATACTCGCGAAGGCCGATATAAATATTTCTGGAAGCGTGCAACACTTTAAAAAATCGCTCTAATAGAGTGGGCGCCATTTACCTGAGTCCTGACCTGTGTTGCGAGGAAAGCAACCAAGTTATGGTCGTAAATAAAGGCGTGAGTCAGTTGGTTCGGGCTATTTTCGACTTGCAAATGAGAAAGTGCATAGGGCTACTGTACACAGTTCCTATAGCCTGGAGTTCAGGTGCGCTCCATGCGCTGGGTGCAATGCACTGTTCGATACGTCTATTTCTAGCGTTTGTTTTAGGTGTTTTTAATGTGTTGTTGGGTAACGAAGACAACGTACCATCTACCTAAATACAGGTAGTGAAATTATTGTAGCTCTAAGGATAATTTTTTTGAATTTGTACTAATATTATAGTTAAACATATGAAATTTTGTTCAGTGTGAAACGATAAGATTTTTTATAAATAGCAGAATGAAGACTTTCCTTATCTAAAAATACTTTGATTGGTGCAATATCGTATAAAATTAAAAAAGGAAATGTTTTGTATTGCATCAAAGACGACTCTGAGTTTACAATTTGTGAATCCAAAAATAACATGATTCAATTACCTTCGATAAAAGAAAAACAATTAATTAGAATTTAGAGACACACAAGGGCGACTGACTAGATAGATGGGGCAGATAATGACAACTTTTCCTACCGTAACACCGCTACTACATTGAATTTTAAACAATACGTATCTACTTATCGGCTCAAAACAAATCCCAGACACCTTATCTTGATACGGCTGGTTGGCGAATATATTCGACATTGAATCAATACCGATAACTTACCGCTCGCACTGTCTTCCCGACGACAAAAAAAACAAAGTAACAACTAACACCAACACCTCATGATCGTCTTAAACACATTATTGAATCCATGTTATCATTTAAAAGTATCGATCAGTCACACAGTGGGAAGTGGTCCTCGGTGGGACGCGGTATATTTTTGTACTAGAGGTATTTTCGATCCTCGTTCCGTGGAATCGCTCACACACTAGATCACTGGTTTGATTTCTATAAGACACAGTTTCAGTTTCGCTTAGGAATCTCTTGTCACTGATCAGCTGAGCGAATGTTTGAAACAATGATACCGGCGTTTACGTGGTACGAACAATATTCTTATACGTGTTAACGCCGCGTCGCGCGGAGAGGGACTGATCGAGTGAATAAACGGAGAAGGGAGCGCGCGTTCGGGGAGGTGGGCGGGGTAGAGGCGGGCACGTCACGCGTTTGAAGCCGCCACGTCGATAGATGGCGTTGCATGTTCAATTTTCTAAATTTCTCTCTCGCAGTTTTTCCAAGCGGAGTTTTCTTCGCCGCCTTCGCATAAAATTATTATTAGAGGCTGCTATCCTCTTTATAAATTAGGGAAACGTTTACATTCTCGTATTCGATTCGATTTCGATGTCCGGAATCAATTTATTCGAATCAGCTTTCATCTGTACAATTTTGCCTATATACACGTCATCGCAGGGCGGAAATTAGTGTGTACTTTGCATTTTCACACGGAAAAATTTGCTCAACTGCTTTGCTTGTGAAGGCGAGAGAGACGTGAGACATAAGACGTGAGCTTCGTTTTAACGCTCGGATAGGTGGTAATTCGGACGTAAATCGATTAAAGTTTGTGGAAGTGGGATGTCGGGATTGTATCTGAAGGGTCGATCGGTGGACGGAGTTCATTCTGGGCCGGCTAATGAAAATAATGGAAAGGGATGGGTAAACGAATTGATAGTAACTGCTCGATAATAGAATTTAAACGTGGAACGGTTGTTCCATTAACAGGAATAAACGATCTTAGTTAACATTTTATTTTGTGCTTTCATTCATTCATCATCAACCCATTTATACGTCCTTACGCTGGTCACGGGTCTCCTTTCAAACGAGGGTTAGGTCATACATATTCGGAGTTGTGAACATTCTACGACGTGCAGGTTTTATCACGTTTTCCTTCACCGAAAAGCTCATGGAAAATTTCAAATTGAATTTCGCACATAACTTACGAACAAGTCAGAGGTGTGAGTCCGGATTCCAACTCACAGCTTCTGTTTGAGAGGCGGTACGTCAAACCAATAGGCTTACAACGGCTGTTGATTAGATTAGTAAATTGCAAAATCCGTAAGTAAATCTCTGGTACCTTATTTCGAAGTACGGAATCTATCCATCTGTTCAGGACAAAAATGTTTATAGAAGTCATTTCTAAATTGGTTCTACCGGAAACCCAACTCGGCATTTCCTTATCTAGCGACAACAGTGCTAAACCGCGAGACCACCAAGATCTGGCTAAGACGTAATTTAGCTATTCGTTCGATTAAATGTTCCGTCAGCTAAATTTAAAGCACTCAATCACAAAGTTGTTTATGCTTAAGGCAGTATCCATGGATTGTACAATTAGGTAAATAAGTGTTATAAAACTATATGTGTTATCCATTTTTAATGCTAATGTTTAAATGATTCACGCACGCTTTCATGGCAGTGACGTGTAAACGTACCTTGTGACAGTGACACCTGACTTGGGCGTTAATAGATGATCATCCCGGACAATGGCTACCAGGTGCCGAGCAGCGGACTGTGATTTATCGGACCTATTAATCTGACACCTACAAACAACCACACGCGTGACATTGTTCTGGTTTGCACAGTCATATGTGTATGTAATGTTAGGCACGTACGCTGTTTCTGACCCGTATTACATGAATGTAAAAAAACATCTAAACAACAGGTACAGTTGTAATTATTAATAATAAATATCGCACACAGAATCTCTGTACCAATAAGATACAAATTGAATTCGCAGAGTTTACGAATTTCTCTATGCGTTTGTTACAATCAATCAAACAATTTATTTGTTTGTCGGACTAAGATTAACGTTCTTATTGCTTGAATTGCCTCAGTCGCCGAATTGTTACATGCTGCTCTGCCTCAGCCGCGGGTTCGACTCCTGGGTCGGGGGAAATATTTCTACGGCCTACAGTTACACTCTTACATACTTGAAAGAAATATAAACAAATGTTTACTCTGTTTACCATTTAGGCATCTACTATGACAGATGATGTGCACAGACAATGGCGTCGCGATAGGGCAGATAGAGCGATGATTTATTGCGCAGGCGCCGATCGCCTATACTCCCGCGCTGAGCGTTGGGTCCGACACCTGATAGAGACGTGGTATGTTCGGAGATGGGTTTTATAAGACAATAGGTTAATAAATTACTGTAGTGATATCGTGAAGTAAAAAATATTAAATATGGAGGATTTTTTGGAAGATGGTAGGTCTCCGATTCACATAATATTATTTAATTAGGTTTTATACAACGCAATAGCTTAGAGGGATGCTTCTCAATTTAAAGTCAAAGGTTTGGATCCGGTTGGCGGCATGAATCTATGACTTAAATATCTAATTTTATTTTTTTATGATACCTAGTGATGGGACCAACAAGTCGTGCGCCTGCTGGTCAGCGACACGCCGGTTCATAGCAATTGCAGTGACATTCAGAGCTTTCAATACTTTAAGTACTGTCACTGCGCCCGTCACCCTGAGACATAAGTTGACAAGTCCCACGTGCCTCTAATTTGACTTGCGCTCTTACCAGTTAAAAACCAAAACGCAGTAATGCTCATATTACTACTTGACGGCATAAATAGGTAAGGTGGCAGTACGTCTCTGGACGAAATCCTTCACAATGAGCTCTACTACTAGATACGTACATTTATTATATAATGTCTATGACAGGTAAAGGAAATATGGCTCGCATTGGGTCAGTGTGGAGAGTAAGTAAGCACTCCCAGGCGAGACCCGTGCTCAGTAGCAGGCTGTGTAATGTATTGATGTCCAATTATTAAAAAGTTAAAGTATCTCAGTCGTTTTGTTTGAGGGTCCTCATGATAGCAGGCTTTATACATGTAACGTGGGCTTACATGCGTTCACGGAATATGTAAGAAGGTAGCACTGTTTCTTATTGATCTATAATAAGATTTATTTCTTGTATTAATAGTTTTTGTTATAATCATTCTTTTGAATTGCGTCATTGTAAGTATATTAAAAGCATTTTATGACGGGTCGTATGTGGTGGAACAATTTATAGTATATAAACGTAATACTATTATAGCACATTAATCGAGTTGTAAAGTAAACATAATAACTATAGTTGGATTTTCAATTGGAGATATGAGAGAGTGACGCCTAGTGGGTTCTAAATACATAGTTTCTTTTAAAGGATTTCACTTCACTTAGCCGCTCACGCGATGCGCTCATCCTACCGCAAAATGGCGGCTATTTGGTTTCGCAAATTAGAAAAGCATTCAGTTTAAATACAAGTTTTTATAAATAAAAATTATTATTCTGCATTGCTAAATAATTACCCTCCGTACTACAACAAAAACATCTCAAATAAAATGCAGTAATACACCGCAAATCCTGCACTTAAAAAGCACTAATGAAATTTTTGGTGTACTTGGGTAAATATGATAATATTCCGTTTGAGTGGTTCTAACGTTTACCATGAAATTACTCCTTAAAGTATAGTTTATAAACATTTATATTCAGGGTAAACTTAAAAAACGCTACTTACGGTATGTTTTCAATAAATAAACACCGAAATCACCAGCCCAAAGAATAACACGCACGATTGTCGTGACGTATTTTTGAAGTTGTTTATTTTTTTTAAATTACAGACCCAGGCATTAAAAACTTTATGGTTTGCTAGAGTAGTTACCGAAATAGCAATTAATATTAGTTCTTTTACCTGTTATAACTTCGATATCCGATAAATCGGTATAAAATCATCACCTCTAGGTGTGATATGCGTCTACGGCTGCATGTATCGCGTGAGCGGCAGTCATCAGATAAGTTACACTTTTTTAATTTAGAATTTGATAACAGAAAAAGGATTGATGTATGTAGACTAAATGTACTTAAATGAAATATTGTTTTAAATATAAGGAACGCTAAAATAATGTTGAATTGTGACGCCATTGTTCACATAAATCACTGGCTAGTTAAATTTTGAATCTTTCAAACTAAGCAACGTTTCGGGCCCGTTACAAGTCTCATGTACGCAATTTAGATCTGAAAAAATTGTTTCATTTCCTATGTGTAACAATCGCGAAAACTAAGAACTTGATATGACTCTAATAGTCTTTTTATTTCGATTAAACGTTTTGGTATATATGATATCAACGTAGTTAGTTGAAAACTGATGCATCACTATACAATAAACATAGCAAAATTTTTCAAATTGACACTAGGGGCTGTCTGTTTGTTATCTCTAATAGTTAAAAATCTCACTATATTTAAGTACCTATTACCTGCGTACTTGTTTATCCAAAAATATTTTGTAATTTAAAATAATTTTATTGGTTAGAAACCAATCAACGTGAGTCGAAATGTATTTGCGTTAAATAAAAAAATATTGAATCAAAAAACAGAACGGAACAAAATGTTCTTTACCCCTGTCAATCTAGTATAAACACATTACGCATATTGATAAAGGCAGTATGAAAGAGCTCATTAATAAGTAATATTTTCTTTAATTACCTGTAAAGATATGATATCATTTAGATATGTATTATGAGGCATAAATTTAGTAGCTGCAGACTTGGTAACTACACCTTTAGCAATTTTAGTAGGACACACAAAGATAACAACAACTTTACTGGACGTAAACAAATTAATTATTATTGTACGATTGAATCAATCAGTTTCTGTTATAATCGAAATTTATTGTCTTTAGATGTAAGTTATTGAGTGTCGATAGTGGGTGGTTAAATATCAATTTTGAGCGGTGATAATAATTATTATTAACAAAGCAAATACTGCGTTTGTACTAGTAATCGTTCAGTTTGTACCAAGCGCGGCTTTTCATTTTATAATGATTCCTGGCATGGACCTGTCCGTCTGGTAGTTTTTTTCGATTCAACGTGAAGGTGTCAATCCGCTTTAGGGAATATAATATCCTCTTATATATGGCATTTGCGTTTAGAAGCCGACCATATTGAGATGGCCTGACAGCTACTTCCACCAAAGAATAAGCTTAGCTATTCAAAGTGGGAAATGTGACCAGACTAGGTGGTAGTCGTCTTTAAGTAGTAAGTGGAGCTCCTTGTGAAAGTCCTCGTCCAGGGAAGTACTGCCACTTTACCTATTTCTGCCGCCAAGCA